TTTGGATAGGACGACTAAGATTGAATCTTTTTTAGTCTACAAGCTCTTGAATCTTATAGAACAGGATATGGCAGTTGACTCATGAGTATTATCTCACATTCTCTGCAGATGGTGTCTTCACAAAATCTGGTATAGTTGCATTTGTTTCTGCTAACAAGCTTCCATTGGTGACACCATTTACCCGCGAAAGCGGACCTTTAATTTTTGGAAGTCCAATTAAGAAACAGGTAATATAGGCTTTATAGGATTTCAGACTAAGTTTTAATTGTGACCCTCAAGTGCAGCTATATCTTTCTTATGAAGGATTACAGACAGCATAAGTTGGGTCGCATATTGAACTGACTCACACCGTTGTTTCCGCAGGTGATGCTATTTACCACAGCAGATGATAAGGACAAGTTCTTCCCTATCTTCCAAGATGCTGCAAAGTTCTTCAAAGGAAAGGTACTTCACAAAAATAGAAACTTTATTAAAGAAAAAAAGCGCCATCATTCCATTGTTGCATAAAACCCGACTGTGTTGTGCATGTGGGAGACTGACCCACCTCTATTTTACTACTTAGTTCACTTGTTCCAACCTATTTTTAATAAATCTCTTTTCTGTTTAACAAAAAAAAGAAACCATAAACTGCTTTCAAGCTATCTATATTATCCATAATGGTTTATTTGTTTCATTTTTCACGTTTTTGATGAATGTCTATGATGTTGACAGCTGTGGAAAACGTAACTAAAAATTCTATACACTAACACCATTCATTTTATCATGTTTTTTCCTATCTTAATTCAGCTTTTGTTTGTATATATCGAAATGGACGACAAAGATGTTGGAGAACCAGTGGCAGAATATTTTGGAGTTGGCGGGGACGCTGCAAAGGTAACACCTCTCCTAAAACTATCATTTTTTCCCTCTTTTGTTCCAAAGATTGATAAGGGAAGAACAAAGAGTTGGTAAGAATGTTGCTTTAATGTCATGTTCTTTATTATCATAGGTACTTGGATACTCAGGAAATGATGATGCTAAGAAATACATCTTTGACCAAGAGATTACACTGGAGAACATTAAGGTTAGGTTCTTTGATGAACATTTCATTCGCTTCTGCTCCCAATGTATATGCTCCTTATTTATCTTGGCCTTTCATTTCCATCAGGGATTTGCTGCTGATTTTGTGGACAGCAAGCTTAAACCTTTCTACAAATCAGATCCTATTCCCGAGACCGTAAGTTTTCATAAAAAACTACTCTTGGGGACTTGGGGCATTGGTCTCCAATTTAGTGCCGCTTATCTGTCTCTCTCGTGCAGAATGAAGGGGACGTGAAAATAGTTGTGGGGAATAATTTTGAAGACGTGGTCTTGGACGCGTCAAAAGATGTTCTCCTTGAGGTGTGTATACTCACGGTCAAATCTCACTTCGTGATGCTTCCATTTGTTGGCTTGATACATAACTTAGTAAATACTCCAATTTTCCTATAGATCTATGCACCGTGGTGCGGACATTGCCAAGCTCTAGAGCCAACATACAACAAGCTTGCCAAGCACCTACGTGACATCGAGTCTATTGTCGTTGCTAAAATGGATGGAACTACAAACGAACACCCCAAAGCTAAGGTATAATAAATTTGTTGTGTTTCGTTATGAAGTTGACAAAAAGATGCTATTGCTAATACAAACATGATCTCTTTTTGGGTGGATGGAAGGAATAAAACATTGTTCTGATATTTGAATGTTTGTTGCAGGCAGAAGGATATCCCACCCTCCTTTTCTTTCCTGCTGGAAATAAGTCTTCTGATCCAGTATGTGTTATTTGGTTATCTTTAGGGGTCGTTTGATAATGACCATAATGCCCTTTTTGGTTGTTTGTTTGAATTGAACTAAGTTGCTGCATGTTGTGGCAGATTCGCGTGGACTCCGACAGGACGGTAGTGGCATTGTACAAGTTCATCAAGAAACACGCCGCTGTCCCCTTCAAACTCCAGAACCCGTCAACCTCAAACACCGCCGCGCCTGAGAAGACCGGAGACATCAAAGGCTTCGATGCGAATTTTAATGATGAATTATGAACAAAGCAATTGTATCATCAGATATATAGGTAAAGGATCATGCGTAACATTAACTTTTTAATATGTAATGTTTTTGACCAAATCATTTTACCCACAATCATCCATTTAATGTTTTCTCTTGGCTTGAGTGGCGCCAAATCCACCATTTTTTGTTGACCTACAACTAATTAAGGATGGTAATTTAAACCAAAACAAATTCTAGTGAATATTTAAAAAATTAAAAAAAAATGCTTTCACCCCTCTTGAATAATATCATTCCAAGCCTTATCCCTTCTTGCATGACTATTTATCGATCTCATAATTGGCACATAGAACTTTTGAACGTGAAAGTAGAACTTCTCCTTTAGCTTTATTAATTGAGTTTTTTGGATAGGAATTAAAAAATATCAATGTTCTCAAGTAGAACAATTTTGTTTTCTTGCCAAATACTCCGTAGTATTTAAATAACTAAATAATCATTCCGTAATATTGATGCAAATGTACACATATGCCCTTTTTCAAAATGTTCACTCTGTTTTGAAATTACCTTGTGGGCTTAACTTGATAAGATTTTATTTAAAGTGGATGGTTGTCATTTGTGTAGAGGAAAGAGAATTGATATGATCTACATATTTGTTTTTTTAAAAAAAAGAAGAAATGTTTTAAACCCTGATCATAACATTTTATCTATGTTCATCATGTCTCACTATTTTCTGTCACAACCATCTATATGATTATAATCTTTTCAAATAAATTTAATTTCAAACAACTTCAACCAAATATTTTAAATCATAAATTAAGTTTATTTTTGGTAGGGGGAGTTTTACAATTATTACATGATTTTTTAAATAAATTTGAACAACTAATTCGATTGGTGAACTTGTAAATCAGCACTTTTATGATTGGTAGGCTATGAAAGTATTGGTCTAAAACATCATAAAAAGTACTCTCTACAACACAACTAAATTTTTCGTCCCTTGGGCCAGTTCCATTGCCACGAGGCAATATTTCAACTAGCTTTTTTGTACCACTTGCCCCGGTGTTTCATTTACAAAATTAACAGTTCCTAACTTTCTACTCCTCTAACCCCCACCTAAGCCCCACCTCGATCCTCCACCCTAGCCACCTTGCTCCCCTCCAAATGTGTCGTGATTTGGAAGAAAGCAAGGGCTAAGTACGGAATGAGATGATATTTAGAGGTTGAGGATAAAAACCATCTTTTTTTTTGTAAACAAAGCATCAACAACAAAACCGTGCTCATATCAACTATTCCGTTATGTTTAAACTAAGAATTATGCTTCTGTATTGAAAGAATTATTTGGGATGAAATTCTCTGTATATTGAATTATCTTGTAAAATTCTGGTCTTGAATACAAAGATCTAACCTTCTTTATATAGGAAGAGGGTAAATAAAACAAGGAAATTTCTATTCCTACTAAAATAAGAATTAAACAAACTAGGAAAGATATTAAATACTACACACAATCCAACTAGAAAAGATACTAAACCTAATCCCAAAGGGATTCGATTTCCTTCTTCAATCCTGCTTCCTTCTTCTGTCTCTAACACTTTCCTTCTTCCATCCTGCTTCCTTCTTCTATCTCTAACACCCCCCTCAAGCTAGAGCATGGGAGTTCAATATGCACAGCTTGGACATAAAAAAATGTTCCCCCGATTCGCGCATCAGTGCAAGCTTCTCCGGCAGGTCCCACGTGCAATTCCTACACGTACAAATTGGGAACTGCTCCAAACCTGCAAGAAACGTTTTCTCGGTTCGCGCATCTGCACAAGCTTCTCGAGCAGGTCCCACGTGCAATTCCTACACGTACAAATTCGGAACTGCTCCAAACCTGCAAGAAACGTTCCCTCTGTTCGCGCATCTACGCAAGCTTCTCGAGCACGTCCCACGTGCAATTCCTACACGTACAAATTGGGAACTGCTCCAAACCACAAAAACTGAGCAACGACCGATGGACGCGATGCCGGGCGATCGTGAACAGTAACCGCGATCAAGAGAAACTGCCGTCGGGGCGGTCGACCCACTCGACCGTTCTGGCACTTCAGCAGCAACAACATGAGACAATCGATGGACGCGATGTCGGTCGATCGTGAACAGTAGACGCGGAAAGAGTTGTTTGTCTCCGTAGAACAACCCTTGTCCGACTACTTCTTCAAGAATGAGGGAGGACAATCAAAGAAAATAAAAAAATTACAATATCCCGCCGGTACGCATTGAATTGTCTATGCCCACCGGCAGGGGAAAAAGAGTGTTTGAGGTCTCAAGAATTCAAAACTAGCTCCGATACCATAAAGAATTATTTGGGAAGAAATTCTCTGTATATTGAATTGTCTTGTAAAATTCTAATATTGAATACAAAGATCTAACCCTCTTTATATAGGAAGAGGGTAAAGTAAACAAGGAAATTTCTATTTCTACTAAAATAAGAATTAAACAAACTAGGAAAGATACTAAATACTAAACATAATCCAACTATGAAAGATACTAAACCTAATCCCAAAGGGATTCGATTTTCTTCTTCAATCCTGTTTCCTTCTTCTGTCTCTAACACTTTCCTTCTTCCATCCCGCTTCCTTCTTCTATTTCTAACATGTATCCTAAAATATTGTCCTCTCGTCCCAAAATATTTACAACATTTGCTTTTTCCGCAGTCGCGAGAACTTTTGTTTATTTATACGTTTTCATTGTTTATTTGATAAAATAAAATATTCTTGACACCTCTTATTTCGAAGAACTTTTCATGTAGTTTTTTGATATGTAAATTGTATTTTTTATTTCTATACCAATAGATAAATAAAATAAATTGGAGAAAATTAATATTTTGCCTCGATAATAGAAGTGTGACAAATTTTTAGGGTGGGATGGAGTAGATATAAATGGTTTACAAATAAACAAAAACATAAAAAAAAAGTAGCGAAGGGTGAAGCAGCAATCCAACTAGATGAAGATACTCCCCCCTCATTCATCGAATGCGGAGTATCCGGAAATCTGGAATATATATGTAGCGCTTTCCAAGCGGACGCGAACGTGGATTATTGTCATTCTCTGTGGAATATATATTCACTGCCATATAATTCTCCTCATCCTGGGCCGGGTAGATCCACTCCGCGTCTTCTTCCCCACGCATCTCTCCATATCCTCCTCCTCTGGTTCCATCTCTATCTCTTTTCATTTTAACCTTTTATTTTTCAAATTTAACTGTTTCGTCAATTTTAACCGCTCTATGATGGCTGCTATAATCGTCAATTTGTCTTCAGATCTCTCTGGATTCTGAGTTTCAATCATATCTCTAATCATTTGCTGTTTCAATTCTCACTTGCGTTTGCAGATCCATAACTGTCTCTGGCAATGGCCGCTCTTCCGACGCTCCTAATCGCGGTCCTCGTCGCGCATCTCTGCAATCTGCACGCTCTCGCAGGTCATTCTCCGGCTCCGGCTCCACTATCCGGACCACACGCCGATTCTCCGCCGCCTGCTTTCCGGTCTCCTTCGCCTTCCCCAAGCGACGCCGCAGATCGCGCTCCTCCGGCGCCTCCTCCGCTAAAATTCAACGTTTCTGCGTCGCCGGCTCCGGCACCTGATCCGGATGCGGTGAACGACGTGAGCCACGCGGACGTGGAAGAGGCGAGTGGAACTACCGGCCGTGGAATGAGCGGAGGGAGGAAGGCTGGCATCGCCGTTGGAGTGATCGCCGGCGCGTGTGTCGTGGGGATCGGCGCCGTCGTTTACAAGAAGCGTCAGCGGAACATTCTCCGATCGCGGTACGGGTACGGCGGCGAGAGGGAGATGGTGTAAGGTTCGTACGAGTTGGGGAAATTGAAAAATCACTTTCATATGCATTTACCAAGTGTATTTGAAATTTACGGGGCAGTACTATTTACTGATATGTTGACCATTGTTGAATTCACTGTTTTGGAACTTGGGAAGGGCGATGATTTGCAGTACCGTTCGTTATTGACTTTCAAATCTTTGACTGAACTTTTTACTCAGTTCTCGTACGGCTTATTGGAAATGGTCTTTTTAAAACTTTAAGGGCAGCCTTGCATCAAATGGTACCAAATTTATTTGAGGCATGTAAACCTTTTTTCCGTCTCGATTTCTCGAAACCACGATTGCACGGTTATCATTTTTTGCAGCTCTTCAACGATTAATCTTGTACCATTACACAATCCAAATAACATAATCAGTACCCTTTTTTCAAAACTATTTTTTGGTTTGGGATCCCTAAACATCCAAACATTTGATTTCATTCAAAAATTTCAACGTTATCCAATCAGCATCAACACCCAAATTGGCATCTGCTTGCCATTAAAAATCATAATTCAAATACTCCTTTTTCATCACCGGGAATGAGGAATAGGACAAACTTGTTTACCATTTCAACAACTTCGAGAGTGGGTGTTAATAGTGTCCTATCCTAAAAAAAGAATATTTTTTCATATTCTCTAATAAGTTCAGATAAGTGAACTCCAGTAATATGCTCTTGAGAGGATAACTTATGTCAAGAATCCGGACGGAATTTCAACGTCAGCAATTACATCAATCACCTCACCAAGCTTTTCATCTCCAATTTTGATTATCCAATCAGAAAAAACTTGTGTATCCATATCTGCGTAAGAGGACATAGATGAATGCAATATCATATTCTTGGTCAACGTAAAAACTATACAATACAACCACAATTTTGAGGAATTCAAGGTAGCACCTACAATTTCCTCTCTCGAAGCTCTCGTAAATTTGGAAGGATCTGGCGAAAATCACTTCCGAGTACTAATATTTTCCCTCCGAATGGTTCATTTCTAGAGTTATTATTATAGAACCTCATTCTATCTTTCATTTTGTGATCCAATGTCTCAAAAGCAAATCTATTCATCACACATCCTTCATCTCAAACAATTCCGCTTGCTTGTTAGATTAATTCTGCTTTCGGACCCCCTTGTTTGATAGCACACGTTAAGCACTCAATTAAAGCCAAAGGGATTAAGAATCTCGAGTGTGCTGTCCTTCTACCAGGCAAAAGCAATGCTGCAATGCCACTGTATGCAACATTCAAAACAGCCTTACATACCAATCGATCTTGAGAAGTAGACATTGGTTTCTTTATAAATGCTTTTCGAAGTCTCTCATAACCATATACAAAAAAGAAACTTCCTCTTTCAGATACCAGACTTCCATTATCGCATAAAATATCTTTCTTTGATCTGCATTCATCGTAGATAAATATCATCTAAAATCAAAAATTATTTTGAAATCTATTAAGTAGACTATCATCTAGAAATGACATACCACTGAACTCATTTAAAAATATACTTCCTCCGTCCCATAAAGTCAGTCTCGTTTCGAAAAAATTGTGTCCCTTAGTTCGTCCCATTTCTATTAAAAAACCACTTTTACCTCTTACTTTTTCCTACCCTACCTATCACATCATACCTTTTTCCTAATAATCTATCCATCACATCCTACTTTTACTCATCACATCAATGATATTTTTTGAAAGTCAACACAAAATCATCTCTCCTTATTTTACCACTTTAGTCAAACCGTCCCACTCTTTATGGGACGGAGGGAGTATAGTATTGATATTATTTTCTAACTTTTTCTTTACTTTATAATAAGGTAAGGTATGATGTGTAAGATAAATGCATTCAGGGTGTACCTTTTTTCTAATTTGAAAAGTCTAATGGGATGTCTTTTTTGTATTTGAAAACTTTTATGGGTTGGATGTAGTATAATTTTCTTCAAATAATTAAGGTTATTTATTTATACTAAGTTTCCTAAAAAACAATTTACTTAAGTAGTCAACATTGTGTATGCTTTTTTTCAAAAATATCTTCAATAATTCTAAAATTAACCCCTTTTACATTTTTTGACAATACAATTATATCAATTATTTTCGTTGGTTTAACGCATTGAAAGTCTTATTTCAATCTTTGAATTTCGTTTTAAACATATTAATGATTCTCGACAAATTCTATGGTGGACTTAAAGTCTACCATGGAGCTACATATGAGCAAAATAAGTATTTCTTTATTACTTAAATAAGCATTTGTTTTTATAAATAAAAAAAATTAAAAAAATAATTTTTTATGTGAGAAGGTCCGTAAAAATAATTTGCACTCAAGGTGCACCAAAGAAACACTCATGATTCTCTCTCTAATGAACATTATGATTAAGTGTCCACTTTGGATATTGTAATTTTCACAATTAAAAAAATGCCTAGAATAAAAAATTTAATTATTTTTAAAATTATCAAATGTTAGGCGTTAGAATACACAATAACAAAAAGATGAAAGTAAACTCAAATGACAATAATAGTTAGGAGGGTGCATATTGAGGTAGAAGTCAAAATCACTAATTTTGATACTTTTTTTATATTTTACTTCTATAATAGTCTTTCTCTTTTTAAACTTTTCAATTTATTCCAACTTAAACGTATTATTATTATTATTATTATTATTTAATGGAAGAATTAATTTACATAAAAAATAAATTAAACATATTTTATCAATAGAAAGAACTATGATATTTTTTCCATTGTACTCATTATAATTAATTAAAATACATTAGAAAAAAGTTAATAATTACATATAATTATCTTATCATTATTCTACTTCGTAATTATATTCTAGCCGCCGTATAAGGTATATATTAGGCATATTAATTAGAATTGATTTTTTCATATTTTAATATAAAAGTGCAAAGTCATTAAAATAATCAAAGGTAGCAGATGACTCATAAAAAACTTGCCAAGTAGACGCACCACATGTCGACATTCTGTGAGTCCGAGTCTCAAATATTATAATAAGGGATTGTGCTCAAGATTATGCACTATTAAAAATATTTAGCCCGAGACGACTCTCACTAAAGGAGGAGAGGGAGTAGATTATAATTATAATAATCTTTTTATATTTATTCATTAAGTAATAAAGTAATACTCCGTAAGCTTATTTGAAACATTTAGTTCATACTTCATTTTTATTTACATTGTAATTTTATTTAAATTTTAATATTTTATAGGTGAACTTAATAATACTAACAACCACTTCAAATACTATTTTGTTATTATCCGTTCTCTTTAATTTGTAAAATATATATTAATTTTGTAAGCATTTCTTGTATTTAATATACTTTTTTCAGTTTTTATGTTTAATTATTTAAATGTATTTTTGCTTTTAAAAGAATAAAGAGTTTTAATAGTATTCAATTCATCCCGATTTGTAATAAATTTGATAACAAATCATCTCGAATCATACTAAACCAAAATTTTGGAATAGAGATTTGTACGACATAAAATTTCATACCAAACCAAAATATTTTATTAATAACGTTACGAGCTAAATATCGTACAATTCCCACCCTTACCAAGCGCCGCTACGCCTCATTGCCATCGGAGCGATAGCAAAGAGTGGGTCTTTTGACGGTTGGTATCATAAACAAATCATGACACCGACCTATATCAAGGATATACAATATTCTAATCGGTCTTGAAGTGGTTCATAGCCCACTTACCCCTTCAAGGCACTGAAAATACTCATGAAGCCCCATGGCTTTAAACCGGGGCTTCAAACCGAGGCTTCAAACCTTCTCTCTCTGTCACGTCAGCTTTAACTTACCTCAAAGTTTCAGTGGAAATGGGTTTGAAGCACCGGGGCTTCAAACTGGGGCTTCAAACCTTCATTTTTTACATTTTAAATATATATATCTTCTAAAATTAAATTAGTTAAATTTAAATATTTAATTATTTAAAAGAATTGAAACGAGAATAGTTTATTAAAAAATTGCATTCATTATAAAAATTACATTCATTAAATAAAAAAATTACATTCATTATAAAAAACTACATTCATTAAATAAAAAAAATTACATTCATTAAATAAAAAATTACATTCATGAAAAAATAAAAAAATATTTTTTAAAGATGATAGATAGAGAGAAATTTTGTATTTGTGTTGAATTTTAAAAAAAAAATTAATTTAATTTATAGAGAAGAAAAGAGGAAAAAAGAGGGAGAAAAAAGAGGGAAGAAGGCATTATAACGCCTTCAAATCGTGTCAAAACTTTGACGCAGGAGTTTTAACGCCCCGATAACAAGGGAGGGGACGGTGTTTAATGTCTCTCAGGCGTCAAAGTGACCATAACGTAGCTGGGCTTTATGCCCATTATCACTGCTCTCATATACTCCCACACCCGGCCCGTCTCTTGCCCCCTCTAAAATTTAACTAAAATATCAAAATTGAAGTGTCAATGTGTTATGATTATGTGGTGACAATGTGACGACAATGTGAATAGAAAGGTAAAGCAAAAAAATTAAAAAAGCTTCATGGTGGACCACTTGTAAATTGTAACTAGTGATAGTCAATGGCGATCAACGGCAGCGTAGCGACAGCTTCACGACCAACAAGCAGCAACACTGCAGCAATCCACGGCGGCGGGGGTTAGCACTCCGACGGACTAGGATGATACACAATAATAACATAAATAGTGTCACGACGATGTAGCTACAAAAGCCTTGGGTTTATCACTCTTATTTTGATATTTTCATTTTATTTTACTTATGTTTAATTAGTTCTCCCTTAGAGCGAGCCGGGTGGGGTTAGACTAAAGGGGGTTGGGAGTAAGGTTGGGTGGGCGTTTGCATGAAAGGTTAGATGTAGTAGGAATCACTTCGAGATCGAATGAAGCATTGTAACATGATCACATGTCATAATATGACTTTGAAATTGAGTGTCAGAATAATTTGATAGTATTATTATTACTTTCATGCTCTCGAAAAAATATTCTAGTTTGAATTGACAATGAGTATAAGAAAAATGAAATTGAATAATTGAAAATGACGTGGATGAGATAAATAATAAAAGGCACAAAAAATTTATTATGCGATAGTTGGTTCAAGGAATTTGAAAAAAAGAAAAGAAAATTATATGAAAAATAATTTTTCTTGTTTGATTAAAGATGAAAAAAAAGTATAAGGAAAAATATGAGAAGACAAAATGCAAAAAGAGGATGAAAAACAAAATTTATTACATTACGGTAGAAAAATAAGAAAAAACTATTTTTTCATTGTAAATTTGTTGAACTAAACACAATGTAAAAAAAATGACATTTATTTTTATGATGAATGAAAAAAGAAATGTAAAAGTTAAAAAAGGAGGGAGGTATAATATTATTAATGTGGTTGTTTTTTCCTTCTCTATTGGAAAAAAGTACCGAACCCCAAGGCCGCAACCTCATTCTCTCTCTCTCTCTCATTCGGAGTATTTTTTCGGTAAAATAAAATGCTCGCCGGGAATCATCTCTGACATGTTTTCCGGTTATGTATCTCCAGAATTGGATCTTGTCGCTATCTTTTCTCCGGTGAAAACAGATATGTCCGATCATCTTCACCTCTTACGCATCTGACCGGGAGAACAGTGTCAGATTCTCAGGTGCGATCCGGATTTCTCTCAATTCCGGTTCGGATCCAAACCTTTCTTTTCCAGTGCGCTTCAAAATTTCAGTTGAATTACTTCTGTTATCCGCGTAATACTTTTTTTCCCTCATTTCAGGCAATGATCATTTGAGGCTCTTTGGGCCATTCAATAAGAAACACGGATTGAAAATGAAGGTTCGAAAGTTTAAATCCGTGTTCAGAATGATTGATTTTATCTATATCCATATAGGAAGTCTTGAATATAGTTTGATTTTATATGGATCAAGGTTAGCTAACAATTGATCTGGGGAAATGGACGGGGAATTGCTGTTCCATTAGAAACAGTTACTGAAGTGTTAAGAATTGCCTCTTTTTGGTTGTCTTAGCTGAAGTACTTTTGGAAAAATGGGGCTTGAAACACATGAAACTAAGAAATTGCTTGTCTCTTGTTCTAACAAGATTAATAAATCCTTAATTGGTCATTCATATGTGGAGCATGATGATAAACATGCTTTGGAAATGAGATCTGGTGAAGTCGATGATGGTTGCTTTAAGTTAGGATCAAATGACTCTCTCCTCCCCGGTCTACATAATGACGTAGCGTTGACATGTCTAGCTCGGACTTGTAGATCAGATTATGCTTCACTGTCTTGCTTAAACACAAGGTTCAATTCAGTGATTAAAAGTGGCTATCTGTATGAGTTACGAAGACAATTGGGAATCATTGAACATTGGGTTTACATGGTTGCTGACCCAAGGGGTTGGGAAGCTTTTGACCCGTTTAGAAATAAATGGTTCCGCTTGCCTAAAATACCATGTGATGAGTGTTTTAACTATGCGGATAAGGAGTCGTTAGCTGTGGGAAGTGAGTTGCTTGTTTTTGGTCGTGAATTGTTTGATTTTGCTATTTGGAAGTACAATTTAGTCGGGCATTATTGGATCAAGTGTGACGTGATGAATCATCCACGTTGCTTGTTTGCATCCGCTAGTATTGGATCAATTGCAATTGTTGCAGGGGGAAGTGACAAGGATGGGAAAGTACTTAATTCTGCAGAGCTTTATGATTCATCGACCGGTAAATGGGAGATATTACCCAACATGCACTCTCCGCGTCGGTTATGTTCTGGTTTCTTCATGCATGGGAAATTCTATGTGATCGGTGGGATGACAAGTGTCACTGACTCATTGAGTTGTGGGGAGGAGTTTGATCTAAAGACAAGGAAGTGGAGAAAAATAGAGGGAATGTGTCCAACTGTTAATAAAGCTGCCCAGGCACCCCCACTTGTTGCAGTTGTTAATGATCAACCGTATGCGGTTGAGTATCAAACCAACATGGTGAAGAAGTATATCTGGGAAAAGAACACTTGGGATGTGTTGGGAAGACTTCCCATGAGAGCTGATTCTTCAAATGGCTGGGGTCTTGCATTCAGGTCATGCGGGGAAAGGCTCCTCATTGTGGGAGGCCAAAGGGGTCCTGAAGGCGAGGCAATCGTGTTGAGTGCTTGGTCTCCTGGATCTATAAAGGATGGAACCTTGGACTGGAAAGTTATTGGGGTAAAGGAGCATTCGGGTGTCTTTGTTTACAACTGTGCTGTGATGGGTTGTTAAAAAGAAGGGCGAGGTCTCTTTATTTGGCCGTTGCTTGCTTTTAGGTACACAATTCTATTCTATACGTTGGGTTACATTATTTGTTGCAACCAGAGTTTTTTAATCTTCTCTTTCAAGTGGTGGGCAACTACGGAGTATTATTCTTTATTTTTTTATATTTATTTTCGCGATATATGTTCACCGTTTCCTTTTTTTATTTACTGATTTCAAGTTGTTTGTGTGTTTACTGGATCAAGTTTCACCTGCAGAACACACAAACAATACCAAGGCTCATTGTTATTGTCTGAAGTTGTTTTGTAGATGCTTCATTGTATGATGTACTATAACTATTCTTTTTCTCGTGCTGAGAAAATGTAACTTTCTTCCCTATCTGCCCGTTACTTGTTCTCATCCTTATTGATATATATTCTAGTTGTGCTTCCTATTTATACTATGTTCATATTGCATTTCTCACCATATATGTATCAAGTATTTGGTAAGGGTTATTTGGCTCGAATGATTGAATATGCTTGATTTTCTGAAAGAAAAGGCATAAGGTAAGTCCAATTTAGCCTAATAACCCTTACCAAATGGAGTCTAACTCTATTCTTTTCTTTTCCCCCTTCATTTTAAAAGTGGGTTTGTACAGGTGTTGGTGTCCAAATAACAAAATTTGTCAAATTTCTTTTGGGGTACATTCTGGAAGAAAGACCTAAGATTAGGGGTATGGATGTGCAAAAAAAAAATGGATATTCTATTTCGAATAATATAAATATATGCTCCAGGGTACTATATATATTTACAGTATTTTATTTCCAAAATTTCTGTTTGTGTGAAAAGAACATGCTTTTGGTTATGCCAAAGGGAATGGTATTTTCTGAAAGGTGGGTGCATGTGAATGACTGTTGGTTATAACCCCACTGTTACAACTATACCAGAAAGCAAATTTTGCCTTGTATGGCATATCTTTGCCTTCTGTCCAACTTTCTATCCATGTCACCCTTGCCCATTTTAGAAAACAGAAAGAAAAATCTATCTTGATGGTGGGTGGGTGAGTGGGGTGGGTTTGACCTTTTTCTTTTTCTGGTGCAGCTTTAATCAAATGGTAAAAAGAAAATTTTACTTTTACTTTCATTTGTTATACTCCTCTATCCCTAAATAGATTACAATCTTTTTTCTCTCTCCTCTCGATAACTTTTGTTTGTTTACGCGATTTCATCAAGTAATTAATAAAATAAAATATTATTGTCATCTTTTGTTTTGTAGAACTTTTGACGTAGTTTTTTTAATATGTAATTTTTATAGCTTATTGATATACCAATTTGTAATAAAATGATTTAAAAAAGTAGAAAATTTTACTCCGTAACCCGCAATTTATAATCAAATTGGGGACGGAGGGAGTATATTTTCTCCCTCCCAAAAAACGCTTCGCATTTTCTCTTTTTGGACGTTCTAAAAATACTTCTGACTTATTTTATTGTATTTTTTAAAAGAATAAACATGTGGTTAACATGAATTCTTTCTCTTTTACCACATTTAAATTATACAAAAAATTTTAACACTTCTTAAATTTCGTGAAAGTCATGGTTTTAGTTATACATGTTTAGTTCATTTTAGCCAAAATTTCAGCTCATTGAATTGCCTTTGTCCAAATTTATGATAAATTATCCATAACAAATGGGCCCTGTCTCTGTTTTTCTTTTTGTTGGAACAAATGGTTATTCTTTACGTTCATTATCACTTTCTTTGGACCAAATGGTTTTCTTGTTGCTTGTTTAAACCTGTGCATGCTGAGTATGTGCAAGATAAAATAAATGTACAATTTTTTTCTACTTATTTAAAAAAACAAATGTTCTTTTGTAGCTAAATTAGCTTTGTACAATTATCAAATGGAAATTTTTGTAACAAGGTAAAGAGCAAAGATGAATAATATGGAGTATGTTGAGTAAGTACTTCATATTAACTAAAGTTAAAAAGTGGCGTATAATTCTATTGGGGTGCAAACAACCTCCCACATTGGAGGAGTAAGAACAAATGTATCAAAATATAAAAATATATAGGTTCAATCTAATTCAATAGTATGAAGTCTTTTTGAGAGAGTCCAAAAACATTTACGTGAAGGCTTGGTCTAGAGCGAACAATTTCATACTATTATAGGATTGAAATGAGGGTACGTGCGGCCACAAATTTGCTATTGGAGCCCAGGTTCGTGCAAGCAAAAGTGGCAGACTGTGTTGTGGGAAGTTCTTGGTGTACCCGGTTGACAACGCGACTAAAGATCTGCAGGTGATGCCTACTATCAAAAATCTTCTTCACAAGTGGTGTTCCAGTGACGTGTCTCGTTCGGTGTAAACAATGGTTCAAGGTGATTTGACAGGTTGGTGAACTTGCGTGACCTAAACAGATTGGTGGTCTGCAGTATACTTTGTGCCGAAAGTCTTTCTGACAGAAAGAGGTCGGATGGCGTGTCCCGCATGAGTGTTCGAGTGTAGCGGCAGTGCAAGATAGTATGTCGATCAAATAGATAATTGTTGAAGGGGTAGTCACGAGTTGTGTGGTTGTTGATTTGAAAAGGGAGGTTTGTTGAGGTGCAAACCACCTCCCACATAGGAGTAAAAACAAATGAACCAAATTAAAATACATTGGTTCAATCTAATAGTACAAGGCCTTTTAGAGGGAGCTCAAAAACAAATTCGCGAGAGTTTGATTTGATTTAGAAAGGACAATATCATATTAATCTCGGGTTGAAAAAGGATATGTCTGGTCACAACAAATTCATTTTTGACATATATATTTTAACATGGGTGTTTAAAATACAATTTTTTTGGGTTAGTAGCATGTAAATTAGTAAATGAAAAATTATATTCTTGATATTGATGTTAAAAGTGTAAGAAAAAAAAGGCAATAATGAGTAAGATTCACAAAAATTATATTCATGTAGTTAATAAATGATTTTTTACATAGTTAATGACATAATTAATTTGTTAAACTAATATAATCATGTCATCTCTTGTGTTGTAGAATTTTTGAAGTAATTACGGTTAAACATTGTAAACAAAAATGAATAAAAAATAGTGGAACAGAAGAATTTTTTGTCTTAGTACTCTAAGTTAAGTCATGAAGAACTTCTCGAAGAAGTCACTTTGTGCTAAAGACATAATAATAATAATAATAATAATAATAATAATAATAATAATAATAATAATAATAATAATAATAATAATAATAATAATAATAATAATAATAATAATAATAATAATAATAATTAGCACATGGATATATTCCGGATTTAGGTTGATAGGTGTGTGTTACGCCTATCACACCATCCTACTCAGCATTATGTTAGTTTTTCTCTTTCTCATCATAGCCCATCATTGGGCATGTGTGGGGATCATAATTAACTTTTTATTTAAAAAACATTAAATAAATGATTCAGTAACATTTAAATTAAAATTACATTGATGCGATAAAATTACTTCTACTTGACTTCCCCCGTTCATCCCCTATTTCTAGAAGTCCTTCTCGTGTAAACCTAACCGGTATGATTTCTACGGTTGAGAAGTGTCGGTATGAAAGAATTCAAAGGAGGTTGGATTGTAGCGGCTAAATTCAACGAAAGATCACGGAAGATATTCAAGCAATCCGTCCAACACCCTACGCGACAAGGGAGTCACTTTCCTAGCTAGATGACAAGCCACTAAGAGACAAAGATAATCACCTTGAGCCACCAGGAACGTGGTCTCACGTGGGTATGTGGCGTCTTGCCCCCTCTAGCTTCCTATAAATATTTGTGTAACCCTCAAATGAAGGGGCTGATATATTCTCACTAAAGCCCTTGTGTAAAAGCTCTCGTACACTCTACTATATTGAAATAAGAACAGGGCTACAAGTGTTTCCACCTACTGTCCTCCCGGTTACTTTGTGTGTTTTTACCTTTTTGTGTCTTGAATCCAGTAAACGATCCTAGACCCGGTTTAGTATTGTTTACCGATTGGTAATTTTACACCATCAACATCAAAAGTAAAATTGAAAAGTTAACCACAAATATACACTCCTTATTTTTTTAAAAGTCAAAATATGAATAGTTTTATGAAACTAATTAAGTATAACACAGTATTCAAGTATTCCCTCTGTCCCAATTTGTGAAAAAAAATTGATTTATGAAAAAAAAATTTCTCATTTTTTAAAATCATATTATTTACAAATAGGTATATATCAATAAGAAATACTCCGTAAAAATTACATATTAAAAAACTACATCAAAATTTTTACAAGAAAAAATGTGACAAAAATATTTTATTTTATCAAATACTTAATAAAACCACATAAATAACAAAAGTTATCGAGAGAGAAAAAAAGAAATTGTAACAAAAAATGAGGAGGAAGAGAGTATAATAGTAAATGGAAAGTGAACATAGTAGATAAAAACAATATAACAAACGTTGGTGTGTTCGAGCCTCCTTATTTTGACTTTTTTATCCTCCTTTTCCATCTTTTGTTATCATTACTCCGTGATATAATTGCACTTTAGGTCAAATCAAATGTGATTTATGTTTGTCGGGGCTCGTTGGCGCTGGGAAGGAGGAGATTGTCCCTTGCTTTTCTCGCTCGCTCGCTCCCTCTCTCTCGCTCTGGTTTATTTGCCATTCTCGTCAATAAGCTGGAGCTATCATGATGTCGGCGTTCAATCGCAACGGGATCAATCTGATTAACTGCTTTTCTCACTTTTCCGAATGGCATCCTCTCGAAAAGCGGAGTTGATTTGGGGGTGTTTCGATTCATCCCCTTCTTCATTCGCCAGGTTTATTCCGTTCCGTTTGTTTTTCCCCCCCGAAATTATGTTCAGAAGTTATGCATATATGTATTCGTGGAAAATCGTTGTGTTGTTCTGCGATTTGAAATTTATGTAGGTTTTGCCAATTTTCAGGTTCAGGATCCACATCTGTTGATTTGAATTGATTTGATTTGTAGTGTAGCAAGGCTTGATTTCTTTGGTAAATTGATGTTCTTAAAAAGCGAGGCGGTTGATAAAGTAACAGAGATGGGCTGCTGTGGGTGTTTTGGATTCTCGTTCGCAAGGAAGACTAGGAAAGTTTTGAGGCCCAACAAGGGGTTGGGATTGAGAAACCATCCTTCTCAGGATCCCTTGTTGGATGAAGATGTGGAAGAAGATATGGACGACGATGATGTTGGCTCGTACAATGGTGATGTGACTGATACTGGTAATGGAGATGATGGGGAATATCGTACCCCAGTCAAGCGTTCCGAGGAGATTCTCATAACAAGAGCCCAAAAAGGATTTATGTGCAGGGAATTTCCAGTTAAGGAAACACGGATATTGGTACGGTCAGAGGTAAAGACTAATCTTTTGTGCAAGTAGAAAATTCTTCCCCTGTCGAGCTCACCAATCTTAGGCATTTAATTGGATGTACCCTATGTTGTTAATGC